AGCATGAAAAATGCTGATAGAGTGAAAACCAGCACAGGGATCCACATCAGGGCAAATTTTGGATGGACTGTGCAAAACCAAAGTCCCAGCATGTGTGTTGATGTGCTGGGTGGAATAAATGACTCACGACCGATCCAACAGAGCCAGAGATCCCCACAGCCTCATCCATCCTTGGGTTCTGCTAAGGTGCGAGTGCTGATTGCTGGATTTTTTCCTTCTCTGCTTGTGTCTAGGTGGATGCTTCTGTCAAATAAGGAATGAGTTTGAGGTGCTTCTTTAAGAAGCCAAGTGAAAATAATGTATTGAAAAACCTATTTTACCTTTTGAAACCTGAACGAAGGATCCATGAAGGGAATCATAGAATCACAGAATGGTTAGGATTGGAAGGGACCTTAAAGATCATCTAGTTCCAACCCCTCCTGTGTCTGGATCATTCCTGATACTCCCTGTCATTATCATGCCTGCCTAGAGAATGACCTGGACCTTGTAGCATCCTCTTTCATTAGATTATGCAGGAATCCACCACTAGTTTGAGGTTCAGTGATGGCTCTACAGAAGGACATACTCAAGACCAGAGAAGAGCTTTGTGTCTACGTCACAGGACAGGGATTGAGGAGGTCAGATACCTCTTCTGGCTCTGCTTGCTCTCTGTATATAACTGTGCCCAATTCTCTTCATCTCTTTGTGCCCAAGATCCTTATGTATAGGAGGGCAGCAATATCTCCTCATACCCATTTAGGTCCTATGGTTTCAGAGAGGGACTATGCACAGTGGAGGACCTTGAGACCTGCTATCACGTGACAAAACCCCAGAATAAAGACACCAAAGCATTTCTTGATACCAAAATTCAACAGTTTTTCAAGCCATCACAGCAAGACTGTGCTAATCATTACTCTAACAGGTGAGAAGTTTGCCAGAGGTCTCCAAGCACTGCAGTCAAAACGAGAAGGGCCTCCGTCTTCCCTTGCTGGCTCCGTAGCAAAGCCTCTGTGTTCATCCCAGAATAGCAATGTGCAAACCTCGGTGCTTCTTTTCCAAACCAATTTGCATTTTTAGAAACTAATTTGCAAAGCCTCGGACCCTGTGGCTGCAAGCAAAGCCTGGCTGGCTGAGCAGCACTCCTCAATTACGGCAGCTCCAGGACAGCAGCTTTTCTGAAAACCATGCTGTAAGCCTTGACTCGGGGGCAAATTTTCACCTGGAAGAGGAAAGTCCTGCCAGGAGACTCTTGGGATCCTACATGCCAAGAGAGGAGGGGTTGGGGATGGGATCAGGGTAACCACAGGTCTCCAGGGGGAGCTCCTGACACATGGCAGGGCCTGGAACCCCATCTTCATGCTCCAGCACTGATGTTACTGCACAACACCCAGTGGACCTCATTGACAGCCACTGTGAACAATTCACTTGGAGCCACAGGAGGTTCCTAAACCCTACTGAGGTATTCTCCTCATTTCCTATATCCATCAGCCACACAAACTCCAGTAAAACTGTACTTTTTAGGTATCAAAAGTCACAGCTTTCCTGAGGTAGGCACAAAGATGAAGTCACATCACGGTGAACTTCAGAGCATCTACCATCTGGCCCACACATCTTCGGATGCTGGACTGTGGGTCACAGCTGCCAGGAGGACACCCAGGTGGTGGGGAAGTGGCTGCATGCCCACCTTTAACCTGTTCCCTTTTCATGCACAAGCTTGGACTGAATAAGAGGGGGATTAAATTGATATGCCTTATCTCAGAGCTTCCAGGGATTGCTGTGCCAGCTGCCACAAACAAACGCTCGCTCTGAAATCAGTAACATTTGCAAATAACAGGTTCCATGATCAGAAGAATTATTGCATTTATAAAGCAGATTTATGTGTCCTACTTTTAAGCAAAGCTAAACACTGGCTACCTGAGACTAAATCACCACTCCAGCTCTTCTCTGCTACCCAAGCAAGGTAGTTTCTGATACAATTAAGCCAACGAGAAGCTGGATCAGCATGCCTGTGGCAAGCAGCACTCAGCAAACAGATGGGACCAGTCACCACGCTGGTTCCAGAGCACAGGATTAAACCCTACAACTGCTGCAACAAATGTACAAAACAATGGCCAGAAATGCTGCATGGAATTCCTGGGTCTCTCCACATCAGCTTCCCAAAAACCCCTCTCCCCCTTGCCAAGGGTGCAAAGAGAGCTCTGATTATCATCAGCAAAACCCAGCACAAATTGAAGCTATGAGAAAAAACCACTACTGGTTATCAGGTAGAAACTAGAAAGGGACCCGATTCTGGTTTCCCTGACAATTTTGTTATATTTTTCTATTTTTAAACAATTTATCAGATTGAGAATCTTGCTAAACACTTCTCCAATCACACAAGGCCATACAGTATGTCTGTCACCTGCATGGGACAGAGGGACACACACATATGGGGAGGGAAACCCCCAGCCCCTGTACTCTTGTGTGAAATGCACTAGTTTAGATGTGCTCCACTGAGTAAGCTGGTTGATACATCCATGAATATTTTGTAACATACATCACTTTTACTGTCAGCTGGTTTATATCCACGGTTTAGATTCTTACAAAAGTTACAAAATTGAAATAATTTGCTTTTTTAAAAAAAAAAAAAACAAACCCAGTTGTTTTTTTTTTTCCTATGGTTTCTGAGCAGAACACCCCATGTAGGATCTCACCAACCCACAGCCCAGCACCAGGGCAGGAAAGTCAAAGCAAAAGAAAATCTCCTAAAGGCCACGTACACATCAGGACAACCTCTCCCCTCACAGCACCTACGGAAAAGCAGGTGCCTCCATGAGGGCTAAAGCTTTGATTTCATCGTTTAAACACAACGCAAAAATAAGCACCAAAATAAACAGCTCCATAAAGCAGCAGGAAAGCAGCAAAGCAGTTGGAGACTCCTACAAGGAGAATGATCTAAATCCAAGAGCCTTTTGTGCTGCTGAGCTTTGTAACACCCTCACTGCCTTCAAGGACAACCCGAGATGCACCGATGAGCTGGGAAGCAAACCTGGGAGAAGCCTCTAAGGTTTTTTTTTGTTTCTTTTTTAAAAAAAGGAGTGATTTTTTTGTTTTTTTAAGGAAACACCCCACCGAGCTGGGGCTGCCGCAGGGGAACCCCTTTCCCCAGCCATCCCCAGCAGCTGGGGTTATCAGCAGTGGGGCAGATGGGGCAGCAGATGGGGCAGATGTGTGTAATTGCCCTGTCAGGCAGCTGAAAGGTACTCGCCTTTACCTGATGCCACTTCAAAATGAAATTCTTTCTTTGGCATGGCTATGTCTGATATGCAGGCATCAAAGGGGAGGCAGCAGGTCGCCGATGCCCCGGGCCACACATTTCCCTTCTAAAGGCAGGAATGAGAGTGTCAGCTCAGGGGGAGGGGCCCCAGAGACACAGCAGCAATA